ACTTCCTTGGCGGTGGGTCGGGAATATATTACCTAAAAGCAGTTACGACATCGGCTGCTCGTTTTTTCTCCAACAAATTGACAACCTAACGGATGGAAATCACAGCATCTAACATAACTTCCGAGGTTGAGTTGCTGAGTAATATCGGACCATGGTAAATCCCTTCCTAAGTATACGGGGTCCCTTTAACAGCGCAAAGCCATGTAAACTTTTTTTGTTTTCCAGCGTCAAGGTCGCCTAGACACTAATGAGTTAACCCCGTTGTTCAGTGCGAAGCTATGATATTGAGTGAGCATCTGCTGCTTACGACTCCTCGTCCTCCTCGTCCTCCTCGTCCTCCTCGTCCTCGTCCTCCTCCTCGTCCTCCTCCTCGTCCTCGTCCTCCTCCTCCTCCTCCTCCTCCTCCTCCTCCTCCAAACCCTTTCACAGATTTGCGCCTTCTCACCTTATCCTTGCTATGTACTATGATTTTCCGTCGACTCCTTTTTGCTTGACATGCATCAGGAAACCCTCCGTCCCTGTTGATTGCTACTGAGGATTCAGGTGATTGGTTCAGCCTTCACACCCTTGCGTACAGGCAATTTATGCTTCAGTTTCTCCAGACTTGTAAGTACTTCTATGCCCTCAAGCATAGGCGTTGGACATTTTAAGTCGCAAGTATCACGTTTCCTAGGAAATAGATTAGTGTGGCATAGGTACGACGCCATCATCTCCCCGAGGGTACTGTACTTTGTTCGGCAACGTTCTGCTGGTGGACGATTAGAGGTGGAACATCTAGAAAGGCAGATGTATAGTAACAACAGCGCATGAAAGATAGTTAAGCAAGACCTCGATTCATTAATGCTGTAATAACCGAAGCAAGAAACCACTAAATCCAGGCCAAGCACCAAGTGAAAGGACCAACTTTATGCGCATGGATAAGGAAGGAACAAACGCAGAACAAACACCAAGGATTCAAATTCTAGCACTTGAATTTTGGAGACTTTGATATCCATTCACGTTTTTGACTGGTGCTGTGATGACACTGAGTATTACAGAGAACAATGGGTCGATTAACTCAGATGTTTAATGAAAGAGGCACAGGACTCCGGCATTATTGTTGAAAAGGCAAACTGGAGAGGGAGTTGAACTCCTCGTCGCCACATTCCACCATCTGCTCGTTTGTGCCTAGATCTAAGGTTTCTGTGAGCTAACAAACAAAGTACGAATTCACACCGGCTAAAGACTTAGCATTTGTGGACGCTAGTTGATGAAAGTAATCTCAACAACATACATTGCGCCCTACATTAAACGAATACATGATTTTAACGGCGCCATATTATGAAATGCTTTTACTAGACCAAACGGCAAATGTTTGCCTTTAGCCATGAATAACACTCGATAATGTCTATTTTGAATTTACTGAGGCATTTAACTACATCCCACATTAACTGCTACCCGAAACTAACTTCTCTGGTATGTAATAAAGGTAAAGTCGAAGAATATGAATACAGAATTTTCATTCAAACTTGCATTTCAAACTATATCTATCCTGAGCTTGCATCACTTCAGAGTAAATGTTAACGCTCTGATGCATATGAGCGAGTAGCCTTCATTGTTGTGGTTGGAATCTTACTCGATCCCATTTTGTCTGTCTCCCAGTCTGCCACTGGCATCAACGAACGCAGTGCCTACTTGACATTATTATGTACCTCACTTCATAAGGCCTGTGGCATACTAGTGGTCGGTGACGACAGTAAAAAAGCTGTCTGCTTCTGGCCTGTTGCACTCTTAGTGAGCTAATCACCTATTATACGTGGTATGTGTCCTACGGCACAGCGATCAGTAGCTAGCTGGCGGACGAAGAGAATGGGATCGAGCAAGGTCCTAACTACAACAGTAAGTGTCACACACCTACTTTCTGTATGTATATATATCAACATGAGTGAAGAGTTGAGGTCCAGTTAAATTATTTAATTCATTATCTGTGAAGAAGACGAATAAAAGGCGGAGGCGATTTCGTTGACCGCGCTGTCTGTGTACTGGTGTTTTGGAAACCTCCTCGTTTCCATCATCAAAACGGCTTGGCTTTTATTCCTCTTGAATTTGGTTCGTTTTGCCTCGCGAACCCCTCCGCGGCCGACTTCTGGCGGACTCGCGTGACCACTGTCCACTGCGCGGTTTTCGTGGTTGATGCAAAGTCGGTTTGCTCGCGAGCCCTCCCCTCACAACCCAATATGCTGATCCGTTGTCGCCACGTGTACGAATCAGAATGAGCTGTTTGGGCACGTTGTGAGGTAGATGCTTCATTCCAGTCACGAAAGTTCGACCATCGATTTCGATGATGTCCACCGTGTGCCCCACAGCAGGTGGAGCAGGGACGGTGACTTGCGCAGGGGTTTATAGTGCCAGTAGACTTGCGCTGCATCTACCTACACTCTCTCCTCCTCCCCCGCCTGAGCCCGGTGTCAAGACCAAGTCAAGAAGACCGGAGACGGGGGAGGCCGCAGGTGGATGGCTTGGACGGATCCTCGCCTTGGCGCTCCACCCCGCACCCCCTGGTCCACACACAAATGACCAGGATTTTTACATACAACAATGGGGTGGTGGCAGTGGCCCAGATGTGCGGCGATTACCGACAACAGGGACTGCCAGCGCACCCCGCAAATGTTGGCATTTGTTATTGCACACAGATAACGCCTGCCAGAGTCCGATGTGGCCCCCGTGTTGGTCCAGCGCATCTAACACGTGGCCCGTTTGGAGGGCACTTTATTCCAGTCACGTGACCTGTGATTGTGCCAGTCAAGGACAGACTTTACAACACTTGTCTGGCCATCTTCTCATCGTCTCGATCGATGATTCATTCTTCCCCAGGCGAAACTGTGCTTCTCCAGTTGTATATGGCCATATACCAGCGACAGTCTATACTGGAGGTCAATTGCAAGCTGGTGCTCATGTAATCTTGTGCAGAGGTGTTTGCCCGTTTCACCGACATATCTCACGCGGAAATTTCGACACCGTATGCTACAGAGTTTTGCTGATTAATCCGCTGTTGTTGAGGGTTCTTGTGTCTCTCTATCACATGTCCGATAGCGGGTTATGGTTTATGGACCACTCCTATCGTAACGGTGTTTAGGATTCTTGATGTCGCCTTCGGGACCTTCTTCATGTAGGGGATGGAAAGCCAATGGGATCCCCGCTCTCGAGCTTCATCGCCGAGGCGATTCTGCGAAAGTTAGAGATCCTGGCGTTCACAAACTGTAGGCAGACGGTTTGGAATGGACACGCCGGCTATACTTTCATCCTCATCAAACGGAAAATGATCAAAGTATTTCAAAATGCCCTGCTTTCCGTCTTTCCGGACATATTGTTTATAATGGAGGCAGAAGACAACAACCAAATACCGCTCTTGGACGTTCTCGTCCATCTAAAACCCAACGAGCAAATTTAAACGACGGTGTATAAGAAGGTCACCAACACATGGCAAATCCTAATTTACCTCAGTAAGCACCCGTTATGTCAAAAACGCTGTTGTGTGCGGACTCTCCACAGGAGAGCAGAGACACACTACAGAAAGTCGGACAGCAAAAGAACAGAACTCAGCTATCGTCAGCACCTCTTCCTTGTCGATGGACACTCCGTAACTTCGTCGAGCGCGGCAGACAGTTTAAGTCAAGTCAATGTCCAGTGACAAGTCAGCCAAAAGTCTGGCGTGCGCCGCAATACACTGACGGTGTTTGTAAGACAGTTTCCCGCTTCTTTTGACCGTTCGGGATCGACCGAACTCAAACATTCCACAGCTAGTCATGAGACTGAAGGCTCTTCTGCCACGAGCTGAAACGACAGACGTCATTTGCCGGATCAGGTGTAATTACTGAGGACCTGACTACATCGAAGAGACCAGCAAACGAATGCAGATCCGTGTCTACGAACGCATACGGACAGCAAGTAGAATGGGTCCATTGTTTCTGGTGGCTGGACATTGCGCAGACTCTGGACACACGCTCGCTTTCCAGAACGCCGAAATCCTAGGTCGAGCAAATGACCGCTCAGCCAAGGAAAAAATCGAGGCCTGGCACACGGAATGTGTTGCCCTTTCGGCAGTCTACCAAGCCATACGGGGACAGACCGACGGTGAGTTTACTCGGTGAAGAAGAACAAGAACCGCCAGACCGACCACCTGACACTGGTTCAGTCACCTCCCCCCCGACGGAGTGGTGACTCACAAAGCACTCAGACAAATCGCCCGTCAACCATCCCCCGAGAGGCCGAGGCAGCAAGAGGAGACAAAAATCGATCAGCACGAGGCCGACCAACGTGACACGCCACTTGGGATCTCTGGTCGATTATGTGCATTTTACGCTTTGACAATGGAGAGCCGACCAAGCTCTTCGAAACGTCAGCGTCTAAATAAACCTGTTTCGGTGAGCCCATCTTCATCTTCAAATAGTCTACCAAGCCCCCTGATGCAGCTTAATGGGCGAAAAAGGAAGCGCAATGTTCGGTCAAAAGTGAATTCAGACGTGAGAGAACATACAAGAGACAGGCACGTAACCACGCCACAATACGGGCCTGACTGCGGTACAGTCATCAATACTGCTGCATCAACCACTAACCAACAGACGATAAAAGATGCAATTAGAGGGACGCAAACAAATATAGTAATTCAAGGCAGCAAATAAGGTCGATGCGGGTGCGCTTGATGGTCGCCAAGATTCAAACTCCGATCCTCGACGAGAGACATGCGGATTGGCAACATTCACCCTCATTTCCCCAGCCCCGACGACTACACGGCTGATACTGTGCGTGAGCGGGCGATGAACGTTAAATCCGGTTAACGACTATCCCAGCGTACGCAGTTAAGATAAACCGATAAACCTTAAGCGGTGTTAGCATGGTTATCACACCCTGTAAATACCACGAGATGCGTTATGATACTCATTTCTGACGATGGCAGCTTGTCTGATTTTGGAACGTTGGGAGAATACAGGTATGGTTCCCGAGATAGCTCTTCTTATCATATGAAGTTCCTCCAAAGCAATTCGAATACCTCAGCTCGATCAGCCTCTCACTTCCTGATAGACCTCCAAGGTGAGAGGGTTCAATCGGACGAAATCATGATCTCCTTCGCAGCGACGTCGTTATTCACATCTATCTCACCAAACGTGGCCCGCGAAGTCTTGCGCAAGAGACTTGAAGAGGCGTACGATGAGACTCAGAATGCCCTCAAAATTGAACACCTCATGAGGCTGTTTGAATTCTGCCAACAAACTTTCTTCACTTTTGCGGGAGAGACCTATAAACAAATCAAGGGAACCCCAATGGGCTCACCGGTCTCCGGTTTACTGGCAGAACTGGTCTTACAGGAGTTAGAAAAGATTGCCTTCATTCAACATGAGCCGGTATTTTGGCGCCGTTACGTAAACGACACGTTCCCCATCGTAAAGAAGGACATGCTGCAACATTTCCACAACCTACCCAACGCAGTCTTCCCTAATATAAAATTCACGAGGGCAGAAGAACAGGAGCAGCAGTTGCCCTTCCTGGATGTGCTTGTCAGATGAAACCTTAACGGTAAACTCGAAACGACGGTTTATAGGAAGGCAACGAACATCACACAGCTTCTCGGTTTTCACAGCAACATCCGGTCGCTAACAAACGAAGCTGCGTGAAGACGCTCTTCAAACGGATCCCAACTCATTGCAGCAAACTAGAGGACAGAGCACGTGAGGCCCGTTCTCTCCGCGACCAGTTTGCGCAAAGTGGCTATCCGAGGGCATTCCTAAGTCGTTGCCTACGCAGTCGCCACCAGAGGACCCGAACATTAACACCACCGACGATATGGCATTCTCATGCCATGCATCAAGGGCCTTTCAGAAGCGACCGAGCGCATTGCTGCGGAGCTAGGTGTTGAATTGCACACCGCCCCAAAGCCAACATGCGAAATAGGGTCATAAGAATTAAAGACCGGCTAGAGCCTGAAGAGCAATCTGGAGTAGTGTATCGCATTCCATGTCAAAATTGTCCTTGTAACTGCACAGGGCAGACCGGGCGCATGCTCGAATCGCGCATACAAGAATACATGTTGGTTGTGCGACGAGGCGGCGCATTATCACAAGTGGCCGCCCACACCTACGAAATGGGTCGCGAGTTTAACTTCGCAGCCACCAAAACAGTCGCCCACGCCGGAAACAAAGCAGGCCGAGAATTGATTGAAGACTGGGCCTCGGATGTGAACTCGGTCAGTCGATTTATCGATCTGGCGCCGGCGTACAGAGCCCTGCGCAGTCATCTCCAGTCTTGCGCCGTCGGTCGATGATTGGCCTACATGCCTTAAAGCTGTCGCTTGTTCTGTTACTGCTACTACCTCTGACGATGGACTCCTGCACGAGTCTGAAAGCTCAGGACAATCAACGAAGTGTTCCGCTGCTCGTCTCTTCTTCTTCACTTATGTGAATAAGTGCACATGGGAGTTGAAGGTAGCGAGATATCTGCGGAGGATGGTTTATTTATCTGACGTTCCGCACTTATGCTTGAGCGCATCATCTGAGATAGACAAAAAGTGGAAAACACATGGCTTAAATTGGTCTTTCTTACTCACTGCTGATAGGTCCATCGTTCTCTCTTCTCATTGACCCTCCTCTGTTGCCTAAGTGGTGCCTAACGGTCTCGTATGGCGCCGGTAGGTCGATCCTACGGTCTATCGCGTTAGCGTTAGATTGCCAGGCTTCGATTATCTCTCTCGGCATTTTGCCTTTAGCTCGGCCAATTACTTCTGCCCTGCCGAAGCCGAATTGATAGTTATTTTCGAGGCTATGCATAGCAACATGCGATCACACATCTTTTCGCTTAACAGCTAGAGAATGCCCATGCATTTACGACCTTAATCGTTTGACGATCATGCCACAGTAGTTAGCCGGACAGTCTAGACCATTGACGCGGTAAACAATTCCTGACGTGACCTCAGGTGGTAGTCGCCCCTTGGGCTGCATGAACAAGCGGCGGATAGTGACCTCCGGCCGGTGTCCAAGGCCCACCTTGAGTGGTTTGAGCATGCGTTCAATGGCTTCGGAAACGTTACTCACGCAGGGTAAGGCGCGGAGAATTTCAGGTTTTCTTTTTGTTCACCGTCGGTCTTCGTGTGCCTTTGATACAGGCATTCGTTTATGAAGCTATGTGGGTACCCATTAGAAAGAAGGAGACGTCACAGGGTCTTATGCCCTAGCAGCTTTTCAGCCTGTGTGCTGCAGTGTGTGTTGATGCGTAGGAAGAGCGTCCGAACGAGGCTGCATTTATGTGACAAAGGATGGTTACTGTTGTAATGGAGGATTTTCGCCGTATTTGTCGCTTTTCGAAAGACACCAGTCTGGAGGGCTCCGTCTTCCTGTCTCGACACCTGGACATCCAGAAGGGGTATGTCTTCGTCCTTTTCTTCCTGCGCTGTGAATTGAATTTGGGAGAAAATTGAGTTCAATTTCATTTTAAAGGTCTCTTCCACGTCTTGACGTAGGATGATAAAGGTGTCATCCACGTTGCACATCCAGAATTCTGACATGTAGGACCGAAAGCTCTTGCAGAACTGCCTCAACTGGGTAGACGGAGAACGGTGATCCCATCGAGGTTCCCAGGATTTGCTCGTACGCATGATCATTAAACGTGAAGTACGTGGTCAGCAAGCAGTCCAGTAACTCCACTTTGTGCTTCCTTTTCAGAGGGTTTTCCTCTTCATCGTACTTCCTCTCCAGGAGGTCACTTGTGACCCTCGTGGAAAAATTCTTTAGGGATGGAGGTAAAAATAGAGACGACCTTGGAGGACACCATTATTTCGTCGGGGGGCTATTGTGACGCCTCGGAGTCTTTCCAGGAAGTGTTTTGAGGATACATCTGTATGTTCTGAGCCCTCCTTCAGCTTTTCAGCTGTTTAATAAGCCATTTAGACAGATCTTAGGTTGGTGTGCTTTTCAGCGCCACCATTGGCCGTAAGGGGACGTTTGGTTCGTGGGATCTTGGCAGTCCATAGAAGCGTGCTATGGCAGCATCTTGTGGTTTCATCTGTCACCAATCGTTTTCAGATATTGCCTGTTGGTTCCTCATCGGACTCAGTCTCTTGCGAAGTTTGCTACCAAGGTTCCCCTGACTTCAGCATTTTTGCCTATATCCATAAATGCATATAAATATGTATGTATACGCGTGTATATACATATACATAATGTAAATATAATGATAGAGGAGCGCTCACTGATCGTATTACGAAACTCACCTGTTCCACTGCGTCTAAGGGTTCTCTCTCGAACCCAACCAGCAGCCGCACAGCGGCGTGTGATATAGGCGGAAAAGCATCACCTGAATAGACTAGGGAGAGTGGAAGGACCACTTCTGTCTGTTTAGCCGTCGTCAGCCAGATGGGGCCTTCCAGTCTCCCTAATATTTGTCGGTAATGCTATTCTGCCTATATATATTTACAAATTTGTGCTAATCGAACCATTTACTTACCTCTTTGCCTAAATGATAGCAATGACGTGCCTAAAAATCACTTCAGCTCGTTCAGAGCCGCGTATTAAACACAGTGTCTTTGGCGGCTTCAAAAGACTCCTGCGAAGACCACAATAATTAACTCAGTGCGTGTGCTACTCAACCTGACGTCTACTCTTAGGACAGAATATCAAACGGACAAGCATATGGGACAGAAACTTCGGCAAGCCTTGGAAACGCGGTGCTGCTGGGAAAAGAGAAGACCTAGGTGCGTCCAATACGGCAAACGTGGAAAAAGGGGCCGCGTGAAAACAGTGCAGAGTATGCGAAAATTAAGGGAAAACACAGGTGTTATAGATCAATATCCTGGTTTGTTTTAGTGGGCACTAAAATCGCAGTATAAGCAGTCTGCAATGAGTAAGTGTACTGCAAGTAAACAGTAAAACCAGTTCTACGAAAAATAAGACCGACTTATCCGCCAGGGTCATCAAAAACGAACCGCACGATAATGCCACCAATCTGACGTAAGCCGTAGATTAATGTTGCAGGAAGTGGGTGCCGAATGACTCCCTGAACCTACACCCCAAGCCTGAATTTGGTCTTAAACTCTAACCCCATCCCTAAACCCTAACCCCAGTTCTATTCCCAAACCCAAACCCCGAACCATATTCTCAGTCGTAAAACCCATTTCGTGACGAAGTTGTGAATCAAAATTCCAGCATTCCGCAAAGTACCTCAAATTAAAAGAAACCGCAAGTAGTATTACGTCTATTGAAATAGGAGGTAGCACAAAATGGATGAATGTTGGCCATCTAATGAAATCACTAACAGTGCGCAAGTGATAACTTGTTGACCAGACAGGGACCTTATAATACTGGCAGAGTTCACTGAATGCAGTGTTTAATTTTAATAGGTAGGTAGAAAAAACTGTTTTTTTCTTCTGGAGGTTGCTCCCAAGCTATGTTTGTCATAAAGTGGTTCTTTTGAACAGTCTGATTCTTGTAACATGACTGAGTAAGGGGAGGAGAAGGGTGGTGGAGTACTGGAACATTTGGGTGCCCTCTCCCGATTGTTACCCCTTTTGATTATCGTTATGTGCCTTCGAACTCGCGCGGGGAGGGGGGGCGGGAACCAAAAGCCTCCATGCACAGTAGGGTCATAAAAATTAAAGACCGGTTAAAGCCTGAGAAGCAATCTGGAGTGGTGTATCGCATCCCGTGCCAAAGTTGTTCTTACAACTACACAGGCAAGACTGGACGTATGCTCGGATCGAGCATACACGAACATAAGCTGGTTGTGCGACGAGGCGACGTATTATCACAAGTGGCCGCCCACACCTACGAAGTGGGTCACGAGTTTAACTTCGCCGCCACCTAAATAGTCGCCCACGCCGGAAACAAAACATGCCGAAAATTGATTGAAGCTTAAGCCGCGGATGAAAACTCAGTGAATTGATTTATCGATCTGGCGCCGGTGTACAGAGCCCTGCGCAGTCACCTCCAGTCTTGCGGCGTCGGTCGATGATTGGCTAACACACCCTATAACTGTCACTTGTTCTATTGCTGCTACTATCTTAGACGATGGACCCCTGCATGAGTTCGAGAGCTCAGAATGATAAATAGTATGTTACGGTGATCGACCACCTTCCTCCCTTATAACCCTGGAATGCGAAATTTCGTCTTCATGTCTGAGTAAAGTTTGGACACTTTAAATTCTCTGTCGACTTAGTGTTTGCGCATTTGAGGAGCTATCCGAGTCAATTCAGCAGACGGTCCCCACTGAGTGAATTTTATTAGACTTGGGCGCGCATGCCTTGCCTCCGTTTGCGCCCATTTAGGTCTGGCGAAAAAGGGTACAGAGTGTACTGAATCTACGTATTTACGGCTGCAGTCCAGCCAACCACGCACAGAAAAAACTACATGACTGGGGTGTGGACAGACTAACGGTATTCTTTATATCTGATGTCATCACTGCCAGCACATATTCCCGACATTACTCCCTCGGTTAGGAATAAATCCCTTGTGCGCCGTTTGAGTAGCCCAAAACACCGCTTTCTAGACACAGATATACTGTTTTAATCCTAAGTATTTATCATTTAAAGTTGAAGAGACCTAAGGAGATCATTTAGCGGCCCCTCACTACACCCCTAGATGAAAGGAATAAAAGGTTTTAGAAATGGGCTGCTTGTACGGTACCTATCGGTGCAACCGATAACGGCGACTGTGTTTTCTAAGTGTGCCCTGCAAGAATCTTTGGCTTTCTCCCCTGATATTACTTTTTGGAGGCAGAGAGACTTCATAGGAATTCTGCGTGTACAATGGCGGTCGGCAAACATCAAACAGTTTATTGTGTCGTCTTAAAAATCATCTTTTCCAACGACTGAAAGGCTAAATGCCTTCTTATGCAGGATCGCAATTTAATGCCTCCATTTCGCAGCAAAAGACAGTGACTGACTGATCTCATGAAATGTTGGCTGAAATTCTGAAATGCGTTTTCGATTGGAAAGGATTACTTAGGCGCGGTTGTAAGAAGGATTTTTTTGCGGCAATATCCTATAATATTTCGGACTCGGTAGGATGTCAGCTTTTGAATACACTACATTTAGATCTCCTGTAAAAACCGTACCCGGTAAAATAGGACTACTTAATTAGTATGCATTTTTCCACTCGTTTTCGACGGCATTGCGAAGGCAAATATATTTTATACAAACCCCGAACAAAAATAGGCTCTCTTTCAGTCATTCAATAGATTCTCACGTCCTCTTTACATTTTATACTCGAACAAGTATACCTGGGTTTTAAAAACGTTTTCTAATTGCCAAATAATTTGGAGCCTGACCAGTCGTTG